GGGCGCCCCCAACCCAACACCCCCCCCACGGGCCTTGCTCTGTCCCTTGATAGGGGGGAGCTCCCCAATCCCCTGATCGGTCTTGCTCTGTGTGTGACAGGGTTGCGGGCGCCCCAACCCCCCCCCCCCCGCCCCCATGGGCCCTGCTCTGTGTGTGACAGGGTGCGGTGCCCCAACCCCCCCCACCCCCCCCGCACAGGCCCTACTCTGTGTGTGACAGGGTAGAGCCATAACCTCTCCATCGGCCCTGCCCCAAGTGTGACAGCGGTGGCTCCCCATCCCCCTGATCGGCCCTGCTCTGTGGGTGATAGAGGGTGGCGCCCAAACCCCCCTCCATGGGCCTTGCTCTGTGTTTGACAGGATAGAGCCATAACCTCCCCATTGGCCCTGCCCTGAGTGTGACAGGGTGCAGTGCCCCAACCCCCTGATCCGCCTTGCTCTGTGTGTGACAGGGGGCGGTGCCCCAACTCCCCAATCAGCCCTGCTCTGAGCCCGACCAGGGGCTGCACCTAGGGATTGGGCCTGCCCTCTGCCACCCAGGAGCAGGCCTAAGCCAGCAGGTCGTTATCTCCCGAGGGGTCCCAGACTGCGAGAGGGCACAGGCCGGGCTGAGGGACCCCCCCTTCCCCCCCCCCCCCGAGTGCACAAATTTTTGTGCACCGGGCCTCTAGTGTAATTATAAAATGGTAAAATAATTTCTAATTATTCTTCACCTATAGCTCTTTTAATAAAGTATTTCTTTGTCTTATAATTAAGGACCTCAACATTGTAAGCACACACACACAAATTACATTTTCAAGAATAGATAGAATTTATAAGAGTGACTATCATACACTATAAGAATTTTTTGACTTTTGGAAATTTGATTTCTATATTTTCTTCCTATTATATTATTATAAACAATTCAGGGTTAGATATGTTTGCAATTTCATTTTCACTACACTTAGAGATATACAAATGTCACTCCTAGTCTGGTAAACTTAAATTCTTGTTATAGCTTGGTGTGTTTTTTTTCATGCTTTTTCCCTAGTTGCCATCATCATTATATCTTCTAGGAGCAGTTCCTTGCATGAAGGATATATATGTACATTTTGCCTTCGGTTAACAGTTACTGGTGAGAATAGCTTTGAGCATTTCACATTAGATTTTTGCTGTCAGTGATCTCTGTGAGAGCTGAGTCAAACTGGAAAGTGAGACAATGACTACATATGTTTCATGTTCACAGATATCTTCATAATTTTTATAGATTTTAAGGGAGCTAGAATTTGCAAGAGTGGTCAAAAAAGTACTTAAAATATTTTCAGTACCTATTCCTTGTGAAATGGCAAGAGAATGATGTTTCCATATTCAACATAAGATTCATAGTGTGAAACAAATTGAGAGATAAGCATCACATAGTCATATCAATTGATGCAGAAAAACCATTTGACAAAATCCAACACCCTTTCTTGATACAAACCCTCAGCAAAATAAGAATAGAGGGATCACACCTCAACATAATAAAAGCCTTATATGACAAACCTACAGCCAACATCATACTCCATGGGCAAATACTAAAACCATTTCATCTAAAAACGGGAACAAGACAGGGATGCCCACTTTCACCACTCCTGTTCGATATAGTACTGGAAGTGCTAGCCATAGTGATTAGACAAGAAGAAGAAATAAAAGGTATCCAAATTGGAAAAGAAGTAAAACTGTCATTATTCCCAGATGACATAGAAAACCCTAAAGATTCCATAAAAAATTATTAGACTTAATAAATGAATTCGGCAATGTAGCAGGATACAAAATTAACACCCAGAAGTCTATGGCATTTTTATACACTAATAATGAACTTACAGAAAGAGAGGTTAAAAAAAATAATCCCATTTACCACTGCACCAAAAAAATTGAGATACCTAGGAATAAACTTAACTAAGGAGGTAAAAGACCTGTACTCGGAAAACTACAGGACACTGAAAAAAGAGATAGAGGAAGACATAAACAGATGGAAGAACATACCATGTTCATGGATTGGTAGAATCATCATTAAAATGTCCATACTACCCAAAGCAATCTATAGGTTCAATGCACTCCCCATTAAAATACCAATGGCATATTTCACAGACCTAGAATGAACTCTCCAAAAATTCATTTGGAATAAAAAAAGACCCTGAATAGCTGCAACAATCCTGAGAAAGAATAACAAAGTAGGTGGGATTTCAATACCAGATATCAAGCTGTATTACAAAGCCACTGTTCTTAAAACTGCCTGGTACTGGCATAAGAACAGACATATAGACCAATGGAATAGAATAGAGAACCCAGAAATCGACCCAAACCACTATGCTCAATTAATATTTGACAAAGGAGGCAAGAACATACAATGGAGTCAAGACAGTCTCTTCAATAAATGGTGTTGGAAAAATTGGACAGACACATGCAAAAAAATGAAACTAGACCATTAACTTACACCATACACATAAATAAACTCAAAATGGATAAAGGACTTAAACGTAAGACAAGAAACCATAAAAATCTTAGAGGAATCCACAGGCAGCAAAATCTCAGACATATCTTGCAGCAATATCTTCACCAATACAGCTCCTAGGGCAGTGATGGCGAACCTTTTGAGCTTGGCGTGTCAGCATTTTGAAAAACCCTAGCTTAACTCTGGTGCTGTGTCACATATAGAAATTTTTTTGATATTTGCAACCATAGTAAAACAAAGATTTATATTTTTGATATTTATTTTATATATTTAAATGCCATTTAACAAAGAAAAATCAACCAAAAAAATGAGTTCGCGTGTCACCTCTGACACGCATGTCATAGGTTCGCCATCACTGTCCTAGGGCAATGGAAACTAAAGAGAAAATGAACAAATGGGACTACATCAAAATAAAAAGCTTCTGCACAGCAAAATAAACCATCAACAAAACAACAAGAAAGCCCACTGCATGGGAGAACATATTTGCCAATGTTATATCCGATAAGGATTTAATCTCCAACATTTACAGGGAACTCATACAGCTTAACAAGGGGAAGAAAAACAATCCAATCAAAAAATGGGCAACAGACCTAAATAGATACTTTTCGAAAGAGGACATACAGAAAGCCAAGAGACATACGAAAACATGCTCAAAGTCACTAATCATCTGAGAGATGCAAATCAAAATGACAAGGAGGTATCATCTCACACCTGTCAGAATGGCTATCATCAACAAATCAACAAACGACAAGTGCTGGAGAGGATGTGGAGAAAAAGGAACCCTCATTCACTGCTGGTGGGAATGCAGACTGGTGCAGCCACTGTGGAGAACAGTATGGAGTTTCCTCAAAAAATTAAAAATGAAACTTCCATTTGACCCAGTGATCCCAAGAAACTAAAAACACCAATCAGAAAGGATATGTGCACCCCTATGTTCATAGTAGCATAATTTACAATTGCTAAGATCTGGAAACAGCCTGAGTGCCCATCAGCAGATGAATGGATTAAAAAACTGTAGTACATCTACACAATGGAATGCTATGCTGCTATAAAAAAGAAGAAACTCTTATGATTTGCAACAGCATGGATGGAGCTGGAGAGCATTATGCTAAGTGAAATAAATCAGTCAGAGAAAGATAAATATCTCATATTCTCACTCATTTGTGGAATATAATGAACAATGTAAACTGATGAACAAAAACAGATCCAGAGACAGAGAAGCATTGATCAGACCATCAAACCTCAGAGGGAAGGCAGAGGAGGATGGGGGGATGGGGGAGAGATCAACCAAAGGACATGTATGCATGCATATAAACATAACCAATGGACACAGTCACTAGGGGGGTGAGACCACAAGGGGGGGCAATGGGAGGATAAGGACACATATGTAATACCTTAATCAATAAAGAAAAAAAATTTTTTTTAAAGATTCATGGTGGGAATTTAAAAAATTAACTCTTATCACTATTATTTAGATTAATTCTCAGATGTTATATGCTTGTACAAAACTACTCTTTTAGATATGCTTATCTAATAACATTGAAATTTACATCCTATATAATAAAGAGGTAATATGCAAATTGACTGTCACACCCTTGCACAAGATGGCCGCCCCCATGTGGGCACAAGATGGACGCACTCATGTGGTCAAAAGATGGCCACCAGAAGATGGCTGGCAGAGGAGGGCAGTTGTGGGTGATCAGGCCAGCAGGGGAGGGCAGTTAGGGGCGACCAGGTCAGCAGGGGAGGGCAGTTGGGGGGGACCAGGCCTGCAGGGAAGGGCAGTTTGGGGCAATCGGGCCGGCAGGAGAGGGCAGTTGGGGTGACTGGGCCTGCAGGGGAGGGAGGGCAGTTGGGGGGGACCAGGCCTGCAGAGGATGGCAGTTAGGGGCGACCAGGTCGGCAGGGGAGGAAGAGTAGTTGGGGGTGACCAGGCCTGCAGGGGAGGGCAGTTGGGGGCAACTGGGCCAGCAGGGGAGGGCAGTTAGGGGCAATCGGGCTGGCAGGGGAGTGGTTAGGTGTCGATCAGGCTGGCAGGGGAGTGGTTAGGGGGTGATCAGGCTGGCAGGCAGGCGAGTGGTTAGAAGCCAGCAGTCCCAGATTGTGAGAGGGTTGTCCGACTGCTGGTTTAGGCCTGATCCCTGCGGGCCTAAACCGGCAGTCTGACATCCCTAAACTGGCAGTCGGACATCCCCCGAGGGGTCCCAGATTGGAGAGGGTGCAGGCTGGGCTGAGGGACAGCCCCCCGCCCCCACGAATTTCATGCACCGGGCCTCTAGTTTTATTATAATTGCTAAGGATGATTCACTTATATGAGTCTTTACCAACATATTATTATTATTATTGTTTCTAAAGTTAATAGTGAATAAATATTCAATTTTGGGGGATTAAAGGGAAAAACCCATCGTGTTTAGAAAACTTCTAAGAAATTCAGTTATCTATGTTGAAAATTAAACAGTCAAAACCACAGGACAAAAAATTTTGAAGGGATTCATCCTTACTTTCATTATAGAGAATTTCTATGACACTGTAATGGATTCTATAAAAGTGAAAAAGCATTAGATTATTTAATTATAACAATTTCTGTTGTATTGAAAATTATGCTAAAAATATTTCCACCTATTGTCTCTTGAGCTTTTGTTTCTATTGTTTGCCATTTTTTATCTGACTTACTTTTTTGAAATGCAAATAAATACACAATGTTAGCAATAATATGAGAATTTTGCTTTCTGTCATCATACCTATGACAAGAATGATTTTTGGCCGAGGTCTAGTAGGATCAAAAACCTCGTATTCTTCAATTAACTCTGCAGTCTCGGAAAGGTCTGTATCACTTTCTATGGAGAATTGATGGATTGGAGGGAGCCGATCATACCGCCGATATGGAAAGTTTGAATTTTCAGGCATTACTGCAAAAGAGTAAGACAACTTTGAAATGGAAAAAAAGTAGCATAATAAAACATTTATTTTTTGCACTTACTCAATTAGTAAACAACATTTACAAACTAAATGAGTTTGATTTTTTTTTTCAACTTGAGCAAGACCCCATCTCATAAGTGGTTAGAAAACTTTTTCGTAAAGTGTCAAAGTCATTAATTTGGGCTTAGAGGAACATACAGTGGATATTCTTTAGAAAATTCTGGGAAGGGCTACATCAGGGAAGGCACTGACAACAGTATCCTGTTCTGTCTTGAAACTGAATTACGTCACCCAACACAGGTGGATAATGTAAACTAGGCAGTATCCTTGATTACTTTCTTCCCTCACTCTTCATGTCTACTCCCAGAGACTAGCTCCAAAATATTTCCCAAATCCATCTCCACTACCACAACTCTTCTCCAAGCCATCATCATTTACCTAAACTACTATCATAGACTCTCGAAGGTCTGCCTGCTTCCACACTGTCCCCACAATTCATTGCCTAAAATGTTCTTCCTCTGTTGGTCCCATGGCTGACTGGGGGGACCTTACCTATCTGGAGCTCTGTATCCCCGGGATCTAGAACTGTGCTTGGCACAATTCAGTGTCCAATAAATATTTGTTGAACCATTAACAAAGAGAACAGCTTTGTTGAAATAGACAGTTTCCCATGGAGAAAAGCCAGAAGATGGGCAGGTAAAGTGTGGGTACAGCGTGGAGGGCTTTGAATATCAGAGTAAAGGTGTTTAGCTTTAATTTGGTAGAAAGTCAGTGGAGAGTTTTTTTGGGGGGGGGGAGGGTGTAGAAAAATGACATGATGAAATTGAAAATTTTTAAGGAAAATTAATCTGGTGGTGGTTAGAATGGATTTGAGTAGGGAGAGACTAGGAGCAGAAATAGTAGCAGCTCAGAGGCTGTTAAAGTAATCCACAGGTGAGAAGTAAGGGGTCAGGTTAGCAGGATAGTAGAAGAAATGGAAATGAATGTCTGGATATAAAGGACATGGTTAGAATTGGGATAAGAGAAATGAAAGGAGGTGACAGTTCAAAAACAATGGCCAGGTTTCAAGTCTGAAAAGATAAGGAATGCGTTGCATTTCATATAGTATCTTTCTGTCCTTTCTTCTCTGTTCTGGGAATACTGAGCTTCTTTCATTCCTGTCTCTATCATAGCCTCTTCTCTATGTCAGGAACTTCTATTCTCTCTCTGTTCGCTGTGCACTTCAACATCCATCCTTCTCTAACACCTACATGGCTTACTGTCTCTGAGGGTCAGCATGTCACTTCTTCCAGGAAGTGCATCTTGAACCCCAGCCTAGATGGGAGCCATCCTCCTGTTAATATGGTTAGTTCTATGGCATATGACATTTCCTATAGCACCCATTGTGCTTCTAAGTATATTTTTAATGCTTGACTTCCTTGCTAGACTGTAAGCTCCATGGGGGCAGGTGCCATGTTTGTTCTTTCTTGGTGTCTACATGCTCAGTCGTAAGAGTCTGACACATAATACTCAATAAATGGGTATTTTATTGCTCAACTTGACTCACTGACTGACTTCATGAAAATAGGAAAAGGAGAAGGGAGTGCTGGTTTTGAAGCAAATGTGGTATGTTTGTATGTTTGATTTTGGATATGTTGAGTACAAGACGACAAAGCGATAGTCCAGAAGAGAAATGCTATGTACATTTGGAACTATGGGACCAGAACTCTTATTCACAGGTTGTTATTTGTTCAATTGTATACATAGAGCAGAAAAAAGCACATGCTTATCTCACATTTATAGTAATATGCTTTAAAGAACTATCGGCCAATAATTTATCCTTGTTTATTTTTAACATATTTTTACTTAGGGAAGTAATTTGCTTAAATGATTAAAATGTTTTATGTTGTAGAATAATTTTGCATGGTAATTACATATTAGCATAGCTATGTCAATATTTTACCAAGAATGCATGGATAACTTTTTATTCCTAGAAATAATCATAATGCTTTAAATTACTGTGAAGTTAGCAATTTTGTTGAATTGAAAACCCATTCCATAAATTATACCTAAAACCTATAAAGCACAAATGGGTAAAGCATTTCATTAAATAAAATTTTATTATTACAAGACAAATCTTTGTCTGTTTTGCAGCATACATTCTAGAAAAAGGACAGTATGGTACAGCATTCTTGTCATTATAGTACATGGAAACGTTCTATTTGATGATTAATTTTTAAAAAGAGGGACATCTGTTATACTTTCAACAATAACAATAACTTTTATTAAATTTTATTTTTTATAGTGGTGGCACTGATGGTATTAAAAAACAATGTCAGGTGGTTGTTGTTTTTTCCCCCAACACAATAAGAAAACTAAACAATGACTCATTTTTCTCGTTCCTTCTGAAATAGAAATCAGGCATTTGTCTTTGTGCTAAACTTAATCTTTCCATTTCCTAAAATGTTCATAATTAGTTTCCAACCTCAAAAGAAAAGTCTCTGAGTGGGAATTCTGGTGACTATTCACAGGTATGGAGGCTAAAATAGACAAGCAATTTTAATTCTAATGAAAGTTAAACCTACATTTTCCATTCCTATTTTAGCTTCTCCTGCCAGATCAGGAGTTACAAACTGATCATCTGTGGGCCCAAAAAGAGTCTTATAGAAATGTTTTGTGCAGCTTGACATTTTTTCAAATTTTGTTCTTGTCTTTCGACCAGGGGTGGGAAACGTCCGGCCCGAGGGCCGTATAAGGCCTACGAAATCAATTGGTCCGCCCTGCAAGGCAACTGCAGGTGAGACTCAAAATTCAATAAGTCTAGGAGCTTTTTTCATAGCAACATAAATTTTTATTAAGCAGATGATGTTACAAATATCCAAATGGCCCTTGGCAGAAAAAAGGTTTCCCACCCCTGCTCCCTAGTTCTGCCCTCTAGTTTGACCACAGTCCCCACTAGTTGCTATTACACACTGGCCTGTCTGGCTTCTATGTATAATCAAGCCAAGTAGCAGTATAAAATAGAGACAGATTTCATATGTTGCAAAACTGTCACTTTATATACTCAGTCTAAGAGCAGCCTTTCAACTAAGAGAATATCATATCCTCTTAGAATTAAATTTAAAAAGGCAAAAATTTCTTAGACTAAATCCAGTACTACCTGAGGTTTGTTAGTGCTTTAAGGTTTAGAAAGCAGTTACCCATATTAGTCTCACTTGATTTAACTAGGGCCTGGGGCATGTATTTAACATTGAGCCAGATTCTAACAATATGATGACACCCTGGGAAGTAAATTAGCCATTTTGGGAATGTGTATAAACTCTTCAGACCCATGAAAATATCATTTTGTTCCCCGAAGCAGTAATTTACTATGTGGTGTGTCGCAGGGGTAACTGGCTAAAGGTGCTCTCTTAAGCATCCAATCCCAAATCCCCCAGTGATGACTCCTGCATGGGCAGGGAAGGATTCTTCTCCTCTCTGCAGATGTTTCTGAGCCAAGGTTTCTGCTTTCCCTCTCTGCTTGTGTTTCTTAAAAATTAACACATTTGACTTTTTCCCACACTGCATTCAGATAAAACCCAAGTGGGTCATGACTAAGTAAGATAAATTAGGATTTATTTCCCCTGGTACTTACTGCAAATGGAATGATGTTCACTTCAAATTCTGTCTATATAGCTGAAATTTTGCACTGGTACAATCTTTGAGAATGGTCTGAATTTGGAAAATATAATGATCTTGGCTACTGGGAAGGAATTAATTTAGTTTCCCCTGACTGGAACTGATTCCATTTTGCATGTACTATTTTACATCTCAATTTCATGCGGAGTCTAAAAGGCTGGTTGGCTGATGCTGAACCACTAATTTTGATAAACAGCTATTTCAGGAAGTTATCAGACTACCATGAATCTCCTCTAGCAAATTAGCTTCACACTATTCCTAAAATTGTTAAACATGTTCATGTCTTCTACTTCTTTCATAGCACCCAAATGCCTAATGTAATGTATTGCATTCAGTAGCTGCTTAATAAACCCTGTTGAATTAACAAGTATAAACCTTACATGCATTTATGCAGATGCATTAATATGAACTCTGAATTTGAAAACATATTAATAAATCAAATCTCTTCCCAGCTAGTAATAACTATCATTTTTGTCTGTCATCTCATTTATTTGGAAAAGTCTTATTTGCAATTTCAAGAACAATTCATAGTCTGCTAATGCAATTCATTTCACAAAGTAATGACGGCAGTAATATAAAACTTCATTTATAGTTAAGTGCTGGACAATGGTATGTGATTTTGTTTGTCTTATCACAGAGGTGATTAGAATTAGCAGAGAGAGATGAATCATATTCCAGGGTCAAATACCCTTCCAGGAGTTTGGAAACCTAATAAATTAAATCATTGCCTACAGTTTATATGGTGTGTTTTAATGAGAAATATAGATGTCTATTATTCTGCATATACATTACCAGATCTTAGGAAGGATCTCCGTGACTGTCCTCCATTGAGCGGAGGTAAAGTCTTCTTTTCCTGGCTGACAAATGTATCCCATTTCACCTTGTCACAGCCGCCTAGTTCCTTTACTTTCTGTAAACAACTTTCCAAGTACTCTACTGGGTCTTCAGGCTTAGAACACATCAGTCCATTCAAAAGGCTCTGAAATACAATAAAATGTTTTAAAATCGCCTTTGTTAAAATAGTGTATGCCCCATCTCTAAAATCCTGGTTGTTTTTGTTCTTTGCATTCGTCTTTTAATAAATAATTAAGAGTTGAAGTTATTATCTGGTTAGGACAATTCCTTAAATTCTTGACCAATTAGTTTTCAGCTGAGCATTCTGGGCTTTTTAAGTGATGAAGGCAACTATCTAGTTTAAAATGGAACAGTTCTATTAAAGTCTCCAAGCTGCAGTTTCTTCCTGTATAAAATAGGAGTAATAATACCTACCCCAGAGGGTTTTTTAAGGACTAAAAACTTAATATTTGTAAAATTCATAGTAAGTGCCTGGCACATAGTAAGGGCTCAATAAATGTTGTTGGTAATTTTAGTTAATATTATTATCATTATGAGATAATGTCCCCTGAGCCCTCAGGTTGGCTTATGGAACTCTTCTTCTATGTTCCGAAGGTACACAGAAAAAGGAAACGTACCTGTCATTTATACTGAAATCATCAGTGTACATGTTAGTCTCCTCATTTAAACTATAAGCCTTTCAACAACACAGTGTTGGTCTTGTTTATTTTTCAATCTCCTGCCCCTAACATTTTCTCTGATACATAGTAGGTGCATATTGAACAGTTTTCTAATTAGGAAAAACACTTCACTGAAAACATGAAGTCTGAGACTCAAAAAAATGTTATTCGATCTCTAATAAGTCACTATAATATGCAGAGGTTACAGAGGGGGAGAAAAAGCACGATCCTGTATTGCTTTTTTCTTTTCCTAGTGTCTGATGTGTTGCATGTACTAACTTCTAAAAATGCCACCACTTTGGAAATGCTGACTCCTAGAAACTAGACTGGTGTGAAAAATATTTTCCATTAGAGTATTTCATGGAAAAAGCGTTGGGGATTATGCTAACCAATGTACATTATTAATGCCTAAAACACCCACCCTTTAAAAGGCTGAAATCTTTCCTAAGTACAGTATTCTATTTTCAAATTATTCTGGTGCAATTTGCTCAAAATGGTAGGCAATTCTTGCTAGGTACATTTTTCTCTAAAATCCTGAATAGTGTAGCTAGAGTGTTCAATCAAAAAAGTTCGATTGCAGCCGGGGGGGGGGGGGGGGGGGAACTAACGTGGGCATCCACATCCAGCTTGTGTGTCAAAACCTGTGAGACACACACACACACACACACACACACACACACTGTGTTTAACTTTCTCACGTCCCATGTTAATTTGGTTAACTGTGGCAATGCTTACTCGGTGTCTCTGCGGGCATTAGCTTACCCAATATACTCTCATTTCTATACAGCATTATTATCCTCACTTTATAGAATAGGAAATTGTGGCTCAGAAAGGTTAATGAGTTGATCAAGGTTCCTCATCTAGAAACGCCTAGGCCCAGGATTCCAACTCAATGTTTCTGATTTAAAAGCCCATATAGTCCTCTCTCTACATCTTGCAAAAATATGATGTGGGATGAAGAGAAATGCCAGATTATCTGTGCCCCATGCATAATCCAACTACAATAGGAATCATTCAAGATTTTGTCTTTTATTTTTTTTATCCTTATTATGACCTAAAATGGATAAACTTACTCAATGAAGGTTTTTGTTTGTTTGTTTTTACTTGAAAATATACATTTCCAGCCTCTTTCAACAAAACTGATTCCCTTAAGGGTATTGCTTTTAGAAGAGGGGCGGGGATGAGTTCTACTCATTTATGGATAATTTAAATCCTTTCTTTTAGTAGCCAGCCACCATCACAGATCAGATCTAAGATAATCAGCAGACATTATTATTCTGTCTCTTTGAGTTAATTGTTTGACAGATATCTAATTGTTAAACTTTGTTACCTAGAAATTCTGTGTACCTGGATTGTGGTTTTGAGACAAAAAATTCATTTTGGAAACTTAAAGCATTTGGTATTGTTGTCTACACTCATCACATGGAGAAGTGCCATGTTTTACTTCTCTCACTGCTGAGCCCAACACAGATTCTTTTCACTGGAAGGCCTTTGGAGGTCACCAGCAAGCAGTCTTCTCCCATTGCCCAGGATTGCATTTAAGTACACTGTACTACCGCATTTCTCCTAAGTGAGTTTCTTCCTTTTCTGGGTGTGCATTATCTTAAGATGTCCAATTCACATGCAGAAAAGACAAGGAAAGAAAAGAATAACACCTGAACAACCAAAAACAAACAAACAAACAAACAAAAAAAAACAACCCACACACAAAAAAACACACAACAACAACAAAAAGCCCTGCCATTACTTATTTGCAGATACAGTGAAAATTTTCAGGAACACACTGTCAAAATTCTCTGTGGTTACTTTCCACCAAGGAGGAAAAATAGTACCCACATTTATTTATAAGAAAAAGATGTCCTATTAACCAGAATTTTACAAACAGGTAGCTCTCCTGCAGTGATTCTTTTGGAAGTGTAGGAATGAAATTGATCTCAGTAGCAGTACTTATGACAAAAACCTTCATCTCCATATTTACTTTTTGAAAATTAAAAAAGAAAAAGAAAAACTCTTAGCAGGAAGCCTACATACCCCCCAAGACCTGTCCTTACACATTACCTCCTGATGATTTTCAAACACAAGTAACACACTTGCTAGATTTGGGGCTTCACATACCAGACTGTGCTAAGTAGCAGGTGGTTTGCCTGAAAATCTTGGCTTCAGATGAACCTAAAAAAAGGTGGCTTACAGAGGTGAACAAAAAATGAAGATCTGTAATGATGGTAGCCAATTTTAAAGATAATTTGGAAAAACAGGGACAAAATTCTTCTCCCAAGTGGTCTTTTAAAATTTTTTTTTGACAGGAGAAACCCCTCCAAACAGGTAAAAGGGCAACTCAAGACCATTAGTTTACTCTATCAGTCTATAGTCATCATCTTAAAGGGGGAGAGGGGTAAGGTGTGCAGTGAACGGATTTCTCCTTTCAGGGTTCCCTCTATGAAGCTTGGCTCGGATCCATTCTTTTTTCTTTTTACCCTAAACAAGTATTTTAAAATTCAAATATGGAGAGAAGGAAGCCACCCGATCCGTGACGGAGACTGTGGTTTAGAACTAACCAAGGTTCTGTAGTTCCTCAAGCCTCCTCTTCCACATTCTCCAAGTGCCCCTACTGCCCGGCCCCAGATGCAGATGCCGCCGTGATGCGGTGGGAAGACAGAGCAACAGGAGACACGCCCGCCTCCCCTTCCCTCTCCGACCCGCATTCTCTAGGTGAGGGCTGGCGGGGCAGACGACAAAGAGAACCCTCCCTCCCAGGCGACAGGAAAACGTGCTCAGGAGTTCATTCACCGAAAGCGCAGAGCAGCGCTGGCGGCCTGCCACCCCGGAGGTAGCGCTGCACTCGATGGGTTTGGATTTGTTTCTGCATCTTCATCCCTCTCCTCCAAGCTGTCCCCGGCGAGGGCTGCTTGCGTCCACACTTTGCCTTCACCGCGGGACCCCGACCCCGACCCTAGGTGCGCGAAGGGGTTAGGGCTCTAGTACCCCCCTCCCTCAGTGTCCAGACCCAGAGCGATTTGGGCGCCAGGGTGCCCACCTGGCCTGACCCTCACGTCCCGAGAGCGCGGCCGGCCGCTGCCTGAGCCCACCTGGGCGCCCACTTCCGAGGGCTGCAGGCTGCGGCCAGACCCGCTGGAAGACTGGAACTTGATCTGGGAAATGCGGGCTTCCGATCCGAGCCCAGCCTAGGGACGGCAGTCCCCGGGAAAGGCGGCTACCTCCGGGCGGGCGCGCGGGCGGGCGAGCTTGTTAGTCCTTTCACTTCCCTGCCCCGCGTCGGCAACGTGGGACGGGGAGCGGCTTCCTCACCCCGAACCCCCCAAACGCCCTTCCCCACCCACCGCCCCTCTGCCAGCCTCAGCCCCCTACCTCGAAAAGGAGAGGGATCTCCCTCCGGGCCAGATACTCCTTAGCATCGTTGGTGTTCATGGCTGTGCCGCGCGTGCCTGGGGCGCAGGCGGGGAGGCTCCGGGGATGCGGCGCCCTGGGCTGGGGCTGAAGGGGTCCGCGCCGGGCACCGTGCAGCCCCCGCTCTCACGCGCAAACACACGCTCCAGCTTTGCGCTCTCAGCCCACGGGCCCCCTCGCCTTTCCCCGGGGCGGGTGGTC